GGCATCGCACCCATGCATGGCATACACGGCAGGCAAAATATTCATACACATAAAACAGAAATAAATGAATCAAAAATTTAAAAACAAACCAAAGAAAATACAAATTTTAAAAAGCACTTAAAAGCTTCTCAGGAAATCTGGAGAGTTCATTATAAAAACTACCCTTTTAGGGGCTGGAGAGATGGCTCAGAAGGTAGGAATGCTTGTACAATCATGAGGACCCGAGGTCTCATTTTTTGGTGTCTTTAGTCTTGTTAATAAAAGAATTTCAGGGATGGGCACGGTGGTACATGCCTTTAATCTCAGCACTCAGGAGCAAGGCAGGCAGAGGCAGGTGGATCTCCATGAGATGGAGGCCAGCCTGGTTTACATAGAGTTCCAGACCATCTGGGACTACAGGACTACCCTGTCTCAAAAAAACAAAACAAATAAAATGAATAATAAATAAATAAAACGGTCTCAAAACAAACTCAAAAGGAAACTTGGGGGTCATCTTATCAGAGGTTAAGAGAACACGTGGGACAGGCAAGCTGTCAGCCTTGGCAGCTGCTCAGAGGAGGGGGATGGAGAGGAGGGAGAGAGAGCTATACCTTCTGGGATGGCGTTCAGCATGCGGCTGCAGGGCAGAAGAGGGAGCAAGGTTACAGAGAAAGCCTGAAACTTTGGGTCAGTATCTGAAAGAAAAAAGAAAAAGGGAAAGCTACACTTTTTTGAGTAACTCAAAAAATCTGGTCAGACCCAGTACCGCATGATGGAAGCTCAGCAAAGTGACCGTGCAGGGTGTCCTCCTGGGAAGGGTAAGTAGATTATAGCATTAAGGAGATAATTATTCTTCCCATCCCCTTAGCTCAGCTTTAGGTGAATCAGCTTTCCTGAGGGGTGGTCTCCTGGCTAGCTGATTGACATACCCAACTGGATTAACTCTTAAGGGAGGTGTCCTAGTTAGCTTTAACTGCCTACTTGGTACAACCTGGAGTCATCTGAGATGGGAGTCTCCGTTGAGGGATTTCCTAGTTCAGATTGGCCTGTGGACAGTCTGTGGAGGATTATCTTTGTTGACTGCTGTAAGAGGCTCAGCCCACTCTGGGCAGAACCATTCCCTGGGCTAGCTGAGGTTAGCCTGTGGTGGAGCTAGTGAGCAGCCTTCCTTCATGGTTTCTGACTTCCCTCAATGATGAACTGCGACCTGTAAATGAAATAAGCCCATTCCTCCCTTAAGTTGCTTTTGGTCCATGTTTTATCACAGCAACAGGGATCAGATTAGGACAGGCAAAGACAATGGTATGAAATGTTCTAATCTTTGGAGCAGATCAGAATGTACGTCTCCACCCAGGGCCAGAGGTAGACTCCATTTTTTTGATCAGGAGGGCATAACTTTCCCTCAACAGGCCTCAACAGAACCCTGCTGACCATCCTCTATGACCTCCAAGGCTACTTTGCCCCTAATACCCATAGCTTTGACTCTTTCATTTCATTCCTGAAATTTTTGTGATGTTCAGAGACTGGGGGAGGGTTGATTTTCCTCATTTAGCAAGAATTCCCACAATGCTGAGAAATCATAGTCCATCACAGCTTCCATGGGTTCTTCTGGGCCAAATGATCGCAAAAAGCAGCTTGAAGGGGCTGGAGAGATGCTTCAGTGGTTAAGAGTCCTTCCTGCCCTTGCAGAGGACCCCAGTTTGGTTCTCAGCATCCATATTAGGCAGCTGATGCCCTCTTCTGGCCTCTGAGGGCACTGCCCACCACACACACATAAATAAAAATAAATAGTAAATAAAGTAACACGAAAAGATACATCCAATAATTTTATCATTTATATATGTTGATATGGCCAGGTATGGTGGCAAATGCCTTTAATCCTAGCACTTGGGAGACAGAAGCGGGCAGATCACCATGAGTTCAAGGCCAGCCTGGTCTACCTAGGGAGTTCCAGGCCAGCTGGGGCTACAGGAAGACATGGTCTCAAAAAACAAGACCATAGATATATAGGGGCTGTGGGTTGGACACACTTCTCAGGAAAATAACAGAGTAACAACTGTTTGCCCAGCCTTTCCACTGTATTAAACATTATAAGTAATCTGGAGATGATTTTAAAATTTTTTTATTTTATATATTTTTTCATTTATTTATTGGCCTTTTTGAGACATGGTCTCCCTATAGCCACAGCTGGCCTGGATTCACTACGGAGTTCTTGGAACTCACAGAGATGTGCCTGCCTCAGCCTCCCAAGTGCTGGGACTAAAGGTGTGTGCCACCATGCCCAGCTCTATTTTTATTTATTTTATGTGTATGAGTGTATTGCCTGCATGTATGTAAGTACACCTGTGTTGTGCAATGCTCCCAGAGGTCAGAAGAGTTACAAACAGTTGTTAGCCACCATGAAGGTGCCGGGAATTGAACCAAGGTGCTTTGTAAGAGTAGCCAGTGTTCTTAACTGCTGAGCCATCTCTCCAACCCCCAATTTCTTTTTTATGTGTATGAGTGTTTTGCCTGAACATATGTTAAGTGTACCTGTGTCATGCAGTGCTCATGGAGGCCAGAAGATGGCGTGAGATCCCCTGGAACCAGAGCTACAGATGGCTTTTAACTGCTATGCAGGTGCTAGGAACTGAACTTGGGTCCTCTGTAAGAGCAGCCAGTGCTTAACCACTGAGCCATCTCTCCAGCCCCTGGAGACAATTTTTAAGTCTGTAGAAGACATGTATAGGTTCTGGAAAAATACTACACCACTATAAATAAGAGGCCCAAACAGCTGAGCACTTTGGTACATAAGGGGGCCCTGGTGTTATACACGGACACTGGATGACTATTGAACGTTCATTGAATTTTTAAATTCTATTTTACTTAACATTTTTTAAAATATTTTATTATTTTTTTTTTATGTGTATGAGTGTATTGCCTGCATGTATGTGAGTGCACCCATGTTGTGCAATGCCGTGGAGGTCAGAAGAGGGCTTCGGATTCCCCTGGAACTGGAGTTAAGGACGGTTCGTAGTCACCATGTGGGTGCTGGGAATTGAACCCGGGTCCTCTGCAAGAGCAGTCAGTGCTGTCAGTGCTCTTAACCGCTGAACCATCTCTCCAGCCCCTTACTTAATATTTTTTAAAATTGAGATGAGGTCTTGCAACACAAATTCACTGTGTAGCCCAGGCTGACCTCAAACTCAAGATCTTCCCACCTCAACCTCCCAAGTGCTGGAATTACAGAAAAGGGTCAGTCCACACTGCCTTTGATAGTTTCAATTAAGCTTTTTTAAAGGTAGTACGTTTTCAGGATATAAAATTCAACACACAGACCAATCTGCCTCCACCACCTTCTCCTGCCTTCCAGGTCTCCTCTCCACACCCATAGGTGTGAATCTCCAAAGCTACTTTATCCCATTACGAGTATACGCGAGCATATTATCTCTCCCTCACAAGGCAGCACACCCATCACCCGGGTCCCTGCAACCTTGCTTTGGTCCTTAGCAAGAAGTCAGAGAAATACCGGCATCTGTCCACAAGGGCGCCACTCACACAAGACAGTCTCCCGTTTAACCAGTAGCCACTGTTCCAGATAGTCTCACACTGGTCCCATTTTGCTTTACCACGATTCTCACCTGGCCCCTCTATCATCTGGTTGTGTAGATGGTTGGAAGATGTATTTGGTTGGAAGGATGGACAGAGCTTCGGGCTACGACAGCCTCACCTGCGCTCAAGTACCTGTAGTTCCTGTGATGTTCAACAGAGGGAGACACCATCCTATACTCGGGACTACCAAGGGTTTTTGTTTTTTCTGAAAGCTTGTGATGTTTGAGGAAAGCATGCTATCTTTGTGGGTCTGGGGCCCTCTGCACCCCATTCCTGGCCCACCCTCCTCCTACCTCTCCTTTGTCTGTTTCTATCTCCCGCTGTGCCTCCCGCTTGGAGTAACACCCTCAGTGTGCTGTCTCCTCCTTAATGCCGTGGCAGAAAGCCTTGACCTAGGCTGAGGCCTGGAACTGAGGGGTTTCCCTAGGGAACGCAAGCTGGTGCGCTACATCAAGGAGGAGGGCCTTGATGGGAAGTAGGGGTTCCTTCTCTTCGCCTCCCTGCAGGCCCTTGACCCCCCAACCCCCCTTTGACACTTCTGCTCTCCACACAAGCAACAGCACCCTCTCCCTGGCCTGGTGCCTGTGGGTCTCCTCCCCACTGCCTCCACCATGCTGTTGGGGGTCGTCTGGAGTCCAGCTGGTGGCCCAACAGAAGCCACCCCTTTTCTGGCCCTGCCCCTCCCGGTGACCCCAATCCTTCGCCAACCACTCAATGGCGCCTTGTTCTCCATCCAGACCCCGGACAAAAGTCCTTCTGTGTAAGAAGGCGGAATTGGGGGGAGGGGACACCCCAACAGGGATCATGTGGGGGCCTGTATAGACCCCAGCCGGAAGGACTGCCTTGAGAAGGGGGGCAAGGGAGGGAGGAGGGCAGGGTGGGGGCTTGTAGCATGCAGGGGGCTTGTCTGCAGTGAAGGACAAGCAGTTCCACAACCACACCCACACCCACTCTATAGACCCAGCATCCATCCATCCGCTGGGCTCTCTGGGGAGGAGCATGAGGATGGCCTGGTGCCTGAGAGCCAGTTCCACCCTCAGTCTCCCAGGGTCTGGTCTCTGAGCCCCTCCCCAAGACTCCAAATCCTACCTCTCCTCATCCTTCCAAACTTCCTTCGTACCAGGACCTTGGCCATGTCGTATCATCTATTGACCCTTAAGTCCAGTCCAAAAAGAATCCTGGCCTGAAAGAGGGATATAAATCCCCACAAATGTCAGCAGTCCGTCCCCCAAACAAAACCACAACAAGGACGGCATTAGAGAGATGTGTTGTTTCCCCCAGGGCACCCCCAGAAAGATGGTCTGTCATTAAGGACCCCAGAACCTTACCCCTTCCAGGTCTCCCTTGGGGTTCAGGAGGTCCTCCCCTTATTTGAGATACCAAGTCCCAGCCCACCCAGATTCACTCCACCTCACTTGAGGCCACTGTGCTTAGGGATCGGGTAAAACTGTCTCTTTAAGGGAAGAATGGGGTGGGGGCGTCCCTCACCTCAGGGAGATCAGACTTGTGCTTGCCTGCCCAGGTTTGCTCAGGGCGTGGCAGCTGTGGATAAAGGCTGGCCTGGCTTGGCAGCCCGCATTCTGTTTTGTCCCAGAACCTGCTCCCAGCTTGCTGAGCCACGCAGGTGAGAAGCCTTGGGGCCCCTTCCTTTCAGAGTCCCTTACTTCTGTCCCCCAACTCTCCCTGTCTCTCCAACTGTCCCTGCCATATAGAAGGGGGGGTTGTTAAAGACCCTAGACCCTTCCACCTCCAAGGTCCACTCCTGGAGACAGGAGACTAACAGGAGACTACCCTCCCCCCTCCAAGTGACCCTCCCCCATGGATCTCTGCTTTGAGACCAGGCCAGACAACTGGTGTGACTTGGAAGATTGGTGACTGGGTTGGGATTCAGAAGTAAGATCGAGGTGTCTGAGAAGACCAGTAGGTCTGAGTAGATGGGAGGTGGCTACTAGAGGTTTCTGCATGAGGGGATGTAGGGGGATGTTGTAAGGGTGGACAGGAAGTGACTATACCAGAGTATCAAGATTGGGGGCATTTGAGGGTATCTAAATAGGACAGGGATATTTAGGTGTATTGGAGGTATGGAGCAGATGGAGTGTCTCTGGGTGGACAGGTATTGGGACACATGGGTCCTGGTGAGTGCCAAGAAAAGGGTGGTGGTATGGCTTGAGGGAGCTGGAAAGTGGGAACTGGTCAGGAGATGCAGGGAGATTTGGAGCAACAGGGTTCATGCAGTGTTCCCCCAGCAGATACGCCCATCCTCCACCATTTTAGAAGAGAGCAGAGGGCAGGTATTGGTGACCATCCTCAGGCCCTCACAGCCAGGAAGGAGCAGACAGGTGGACAGTGTTGTTCCTCTCAGAGCCAGCCCCCACTATGGTCCACTTGAATCAGGCAGGAGCCTCTCCAGAAAACAGCATTAGCAGGACAGGACAGTGAGGGCAGACACCGGCTCCCAGCTCCGCAACCCCAGCTGAGACTGCACTGCTGGGGCACAGCCAAGAAATCCATCCATGCTGCCCCTGGGTCTTGGATTCTGGGTGCTTTTGTAGGATGGGAGATTGCGAGCCTTCAGGGCACCGTAAGAGGTGAGAGCCAGTGACTGTGGGTGACTGAGCATATAGGACATTAAGATGAATTCGAGGAAGTGACAGGGTTTCAACAGCACCGTGGGATAGCACTGCCAATTTCACCAGGCTGTGAAGACAATGAGGGAATCAGCATTGAGCTGAGCAAAGTGGTCGCATGGGCTGAGCGCTCAGCAGGAACCATCTGCCACTACTAGTGTTTTACCATCATGGGTGACAGTGTCAGGAGACAGACACACACCACAGGCAGTGCAACTGCAGCCTGCATGCTTGCCCACCCACTCCAGATCTCCCCAAAGCTTGCTGGGGGTCCTAGATATCGGAAAAGTAACTCCTGTAGCTCCCAAGAATATAGCCTCTCTTTCTGCAAGAAACATATGCTCAATTTAGAATAATGAGTTCCAAGTTTGTGAGTGTGTGTGTGTGTGTGTGTGTGTGTGTGTGTGTGTGTGTGTGTGTGTGTGTGTGTGTGTGTGTGTGTGTGTGTGTGTGTGTGTGTGTGTGTGTGTGTGTGTGTGTGTGTGTGTGTGTGTGTGTGTGTGTGTGTGTGTGTGTGTGTGTGTGTGTGTGTGTGTGTGTGTGTGTGTGTGTGTGTGTGTGTGTGTGTGTGTGTGTGTGTGTGTGTGTGTGTGTGTGTGTGTGTGTGTGTGTGTGTGTGTGTGTGTGTGTGTGTGTGTGTGTGTGTGTGTGTGTGTGTGTGTGTGTGTGTGTGTGTGTGTGTGTGTGAGAGAGAGAGAGAGAGAGAGAGAGAGAGAGAGAGAGAGAGAGAATTAACCATGTCAAGGCCAATGTAAATGGCAGTGTGATGAGAGAGAGCGAGAGAGAGAGAGAGAGAGAGAGAGAGAGAGAGAGAGAGAGAATTAAACCCAGGGCCTGGACAGCAAGCAAGGCAAGCCTCTACCACTGGGCCACTTCCCCCAGTCCTCACTGGGGGATTCTAGGCAGGACCTCTACTATGGAGCCATGCCCCTCACCCCTCACTGGTAGATTCTAGGCACATTCTCTACCACTGAGCTACATCTCCAGCCCTCTTTTTACTTTTTATTTTGAGACAAAGTTTCACTAAGTTTCCCTGTGTGACCTTCCACTCATTCTGCAGCCCAGGTTGGCCTTGAATTAGCATTCCTTCCGCCTCAGTCTTCCTAATAGCTTAGACAACGGGCCCAGACCTATTCAGATTAATAGGGATGTTGAAGGAATTCCCAGTCTCTGGGGGCAGGCACAGGGAAATGGAGAAGTCCACTGAACATACTGGACGCCCCTGCACCATCAGTGACTGGTGGCTCCATCCGTTCTCTAACTGCTCTGCTGTGGGTAAAATGGGTTAGCCTTGAAAGATGCATTGGGGTTTCTAAGGGCTGAAGGAGGAGTCCACAACATGATCACTAGGCAGTGTCTAACATGTGGGGAGGACCTGTTAGCTCTTGCTGTCCCAATTATGACAATGTGTGTATCCAACAATTGGATGGGCTCAAGGGGGGTGCCCAGAGACCAGTTTATTACAGGTACCCAGAAAGACAGAACTGTTACAAGGCCAGGGTGGGACAGGAAGGGGGCTCTGTGCTGAGTGAGCCTAGCTAGGGAACCAGGAAGGGTTTTCTGCTAGAAGCCCAGTAGGACCTGGGGCTGGGGTGAGGAGAAAGCTCCGAGGCTAGGGTAGGCCAGGGATGAGGACTGGAGTGGGGGGTGAAGACTGGGCTTGAGTTGGGATTCAAGGGACTTCAGTTGGGGCAAAAGGAACAGAGCCAGGGTGGGACCAGAGATGGAGCTAGGGTTATGGCCGGGAACCCCATCCCCCATGCTCTACCCAGCCTGGCATTATCTCCCCCATACACCCTGCCCAGCAACCTGGGAAGCCAGCTCAGGCCCTAGCCAGCAATCTGCAATGTGTGGGCAGAGCCTGGCAGGCTCCAAGCTGTCTACGGGAGCCACACCCAGAACCCGGGCCTCTTGCCACCTGGCTCCTGATGCCCTATTCCCCAAACACCCCAGGCTCTAACAGTCCTGAGTTAGGAACAGCTACTGGGGAGCGAGGCATGGTTTAAATCCTACCTCCTGGAGGAGAGACCTTGGACATCAGCTCAGAACCTGTTTCCCTATCTGTAAAATGGGTTAGTAAGCTGGGCATGGTAGTGCATGCCTATAATCCCAGCAACTGGGGAACTGAGGCAGGAGGATGGCAAGTTCAAGGCCAGCCTGGGCTACATAGCAAGAGCTTGTTCCACAGCCCACACCCCAGAAAGATCCACTTGGGGTAAGGCCCAAGGTCCCTGGGGAGTAACAGCTGCACCTTCATCTAATCCATGCTCACCCAGCCCCCACTTGACTTTGGGGCACCGTATCTCCCAGCCCAGCGAGGTCAGGTTCCCTGCCAGCCTTGTGTGTACCTTCCTGCACTCCTGGCCGGGAACAGGTGGGGCAAAGAAGCTGAAGTGCAGGGCTTTGCTCCTAATCCTGGTAGCCCTGCTAAGGTCGGGCTTGTTTTCTGAATTTCTCTAGGACAGTGCTGTGACATGCAAGAGGTGGCACTGAGCCTCATGGTCCTCCTGGCAGGTGAGTGCCTGGCCCCCAAAGGGCCTTGTTCCCCTAGGCCCCTCAGCTGCGTGGTGATAAGCTATGTGTGTGTGTGTCTGTCTTTGTGTCTGTGTGTCTGTGTCTGTGTCTGTGTTTCTGTGTGTCTGTGTGTGTGTGTCTTTTTCCACTAGGGAGATGGCACTTAGTCTCAGGTGATACTAAGTAGAAGGTTTACCCAGTGCTGCTGTGTCCTTACCACCTCCCTAGACTGTCTTCCCAGATGGATCTGGAAGTCTAGCAGTGATGTAGCAAGTGACTGGAGTGCCTCGTGCCTCAGTTTCTCCACCTGTGAAAACACAGAGAACTGTACTTACTCATAGGGTCATTGTGAAGGTTTTCAGTGAAAAGCACTAAAACAGGGCCCATGGGCATTCTGTATGTGTGCCTCAAATATAATTAAGTAGTTTCTTAGTCCAAGAACGAAGCCAGATACTGCTTTTAGCCAGAATTTAACCTTGAGCCTTGCTGCACTGCTTCTTCCCCACCTTCTCTTGTTTATCTTGTCTGTGTATATGTACATGAGTGTGTGTGTACCTGTATGGGATTCACATGTGTGTACCTGCATCAGGAAGTCAGAAGACAACCTTGAGTGTCGTTCCTCAGGAGCCAACCACCTGGGCTTTTTGTTTGTTTTGTTTGTTTATTTTTGAGACAGGGTCTCCCTATGTAGCACTGGTTGGCCTGGAACTTACTATGTAGCCCAGGCTGGCCTTGATCTCATAGAGATCCACCTGTGTCCACCTCTGAGTGCTGGAATCAAAAGTGTGTACCACCATACCTGGCTCCACTTAGGTTTTTGAGGTAGCAGCTCTCTCTGGCCTAGAATTCATCAAGTAGGCTAGGCTGGCCAGGGAACCCCAGGGATGCCTCTGTTTCAGTCTTACCCGCACTGGGATCACAAGGGTGTACCATCACACTCAGCTTGTCTCACACGGGTGCTGAAGATGGAACTCAGATCCTCAGGCTTACAGTGTAAGCACTTTACCTCTGAGGCAATTCCCTAGCCCTCTTTTTTCCTTTCCTCTCTTCTCTCCACTTTGTAGCCCAGGCTGGCCTGAAATTCACTATGCAGCCCAAGCAGATCTCAAACTCGTGGCAATCCTCCTGCCTCTGCCTCCCAAGTGCTAGGATTACAGATGAGCCATCACACTTAATTTATATCTCTTTTTACTTTTTTTGTTTGGTTGGTTTTTTTTTTTTTTTTTTTTTTTTTTTTTTTTTAAAAAAAAAAAAAAAAAAAAAAGAGGACGATAAATCTTTCACTGTGATATATCAAAATAATGGCCTGAAATTCACTATGCAGCCCAAGCAGATCTCAAACTCGTGGCAATCCTCCTGCCTCTGCCTCCCAAGTGCTAGGATTACAGATGAGCCATCACACTTAATTTATTTCTCTTTTTTCTTTGTTTTTGTTGGTTTTTTTTTTTTTTTTTTTTTGTCTCTTTTTGAGACGGTCTCCCTGTAGCCCGAGCTGTCCTGGAGTCACTATGTAGACCAGGCTGGCCTTGAACTCACAGAGATCCGCCTACCTCTGCCTCCCGAGTGCTGGGATTAAAGGCGTGCGCCACCACACCAGGCTAAAAACCACTTTTAACCACTCTTTGGGCACAAGTGGCATTCTATTTGGGAAAGAGCTGTAAGACTGCCCTGAGGTTGCCAACAGCACGTCACTTTGAAGGGGAAGGGGAAGCAGACGTGACACCCATGGTATGTAGCTATAGCAGGGTCAGGAGGGTGGGCCATGAGCACAGCCAATGTGGAGGAAACAGACCTGGGAACAGAAGCCATCTGTCACTTTGGAAAGCAAAGTCCCCATCCTGCAGGAGACCACGTGTCTGGAAACATTCACTCAAACAGTGGCAAAAAAAAACCAAAAAAACAACCACCTGGAATCAGATCTATTTTCGACCACAAAATGCTGGTGTGACTTGCAGGCATGGGTAGGTGGGAGAGTCAACGTCTCCAGGAAGGCAGTGTCCAAGTGAGACTAGCCAGGGCTCAGATCCTGTGCACTCTGGAGGTGGGACTGTTTCCCAGGAGACCCTCACCAGAGACCACTCAAGCACCAGAGCCAAGGACTCTGTTAAGACCACCGTAGTGATCTCCCCTTTTTCTCACTTGTCCCCTCCAGGCCTTCCTGCCCTGGATGCCAATGACCCCGAAGGTGAGTCTGAACAGGTCCTCAGCCCCTCCCTCCCTCCCTTTCACCCTGGACCCTGGGCATCTCCTAGGGTCTTGGATTCATGTGTGTGTGTTTACTTTCTTTGCAGATAAAGGTAGTCCTTTCTACTATGGTAAGAACTTTGTCCCCATTTCGCCTCCTCCCAACTCCATGCACTATTTTGTACCAGGAGTCCCACACAGGGATGGCTGACAGCAGTGACCCAGAGACCAGTATAAGAATGGGCTAGGATTGGGTCACTGAGCTTTAAACCTAGTAGATTAAAAGCATCAGAGATGTCAACCCAACCTTGGAGAAAAATCAGGACAGTTTGACACATGCAGGATATGTGGTCAATCTGTAAGAAGTGTTAAGTTCGGATCAACCCCCAGAAAGTTGGTCATGAAAATCTTCCCAGACAAGGTCAACAATTCTGCCCTTTCCTTTTTGCATCTAGAGAGTCAGCTCCCCTCAACCCTTCTGCTTGCTCTTCCTCCATCACTTCTCAGTTTTGCTCCAGCCATGGTAGTGCCTGCTGGTCCTCAAAATCAACAGGCGACCATGAACCTCAGGACCTTTGCACCCGCTGAACTTTCTGTCTGGAATTCTTTCTTCTGTGTGTCCTCACAGCCCCCTCTCTCCTCCCGCAGATCTCTGCTCCAATGGAGCCTCCTCAGAGAGCCCTTGCTTACCACTCTCTAAAGACCTACCCCCTTGACTTTCTATTCCACCCGCTGATTCTTTCCCTTGAATCACTTTTCTCTACCTGAGTGGACATGAAGTGCCTTGTTTGCTGGGGTATGAAATACAATGTGTGCATGGCCAGGCAGGGATTTGGGTCTTCCCACTTACTGCTGTCTAAAGGATGAGGGAGATGGACAGGGAGGACCTGAGCTGGCTTTGAGGTCTGCCTTGCTTCTCTCCTAGACTGGCACAGCCTCCGCGTGGGTGGGCTCATCTGTGCTGGGATTCTGTGTGCCCTGGGCATCATAGTCCTCCTGAGTAAGTACAGGGGCCTGGAGGAGGGGGTGTGTGTGGGTTTCCTCCCCTGACCCTGCACCCCTCTCCCACAGGTGGAAAGTGCAAATGCAAGTTCAGACAGAAGCCCAGGTGAGATGGGTTCTGGGCATGCCCAGAAGAGCTAAATCTTGTGCAAAGAGAATGGGCCGAGGGGCTCTGGCTCTGAGGTGGCCCAGGCTTGTTATTCATGGCAGTAATCCCTGGAAGCCTCCCCTAGATCCTGAAAGGCCTTGGTCCCCAGCCCTGTACAAACCTACAGTGGAAAACCAGCCAGGAAGCCTTTAGCCCTGGGGGAGATGACAAACAGGTTGGCTTACTTGGATATAATTCTCATTTCCCTAGTCACCGTCCAGGGGATGGACCACCTCTCATCGCACCAGGTAAGATAGGGATGGCCTGGGGCTGATCCCTGAAGTTGGGGTGGGTGTATGCCTATTCTGGGGAGAAAGAACTCCCTCCACCCTTACAGGCTGACCCCATCTCCTCCACCAGGCTCTGCCCACTGCTGAGGATGGACCAGCAGAAAGAGCAGTGTCTCTGTGCCCACCTCCAGGCTCTTCAGGTGGACTGGCACTCCAGGATGGCCTGTCCCCTCCTCTCCCAAGACGGCCTTGTTGGGGGCTCATCTCACCTCTCATGGGAGCAGGCTCTTTGTTCAATTTTTTAATCTAAAGTGATTTTATATCCTGCCCTGGTGATCTTGAGACTCTACACGCTGGGGTGGGGCAAGGGGCTGTGAGCAGGTGAAAGGACGCTGGGGCAGGAAAGGCACCCAGGTGGCACAGAAACTGGTGGCTGAATTTTGACTAAATTAGGCCTGCGTGTCATGGCCTAGTGGTGGTGGGCCCAGCCCTCTCCCTCCCCTTCAAGATGTTCTAGCTGTGAACAAGGGACATTTCTGAGAGTGAAAGAGAGCCATAGGCACACCGGAGCACGCTGGTGGACTTTGGGACCATCCCAGAATATCGAGAATCTAAGATTAGTTTACCATGCTGGGGATACTCAGTTTAGGACCCCCCCCCCCACCTTCACCTCTTGCCACTCACCCATAGACCCCACTTTATAACGAGAATTTTCCATACACCCCCTGGTCCTATGAGACCTTGAATTCCCCAGGATACCCCTAAAAAGATACAGTCTGAGAATCTCCATGACTCCAGGACCATCCCAGAATAACAAGAATCTAGGATTATTCTACCATGCTGGGGATACTCAGTTTAGGACACCTCCCACCCCATCCCCCACCACTCACCCATAGACCCCACTTTATAACGAGAATTTTCCATACACCCCCTGGTCCTATGAGACCTTTAATTTCCCAGGACACCCTTAAAAAGATACAGTGTGAGACTCTCCATGACTCCAAGCTCTCTTGAGGCTCCGGTCGCAGTACCCAACAGGGCCGCCTCCAAAATGTTACCATGTGCCAGTCCATATAATACCTAAAACCCTTCAAAACACCCTAAAATAGTTCCTATAGTGCCCTGACAATGGCTTCAAAAACGAGACTCTTAGTACACTTGTGATCTGTCCCCAAATCGTGCCCTTCTGTCCCTCAAGGGATCCTAGGATCCCCACCACCCACAATCACAAGCCACGCCCCATAGAGCCACTGGGCTCCGGGGACATCACCCTCCCCCACCATGCCATTCACAAGCCCCTCCTCCAAAGAGCTCTCAGAACAGCGGGGCGGGCGCGCAGAGCATTTATTGAACTCATACCATCCTGTCCTGGTCCCTGTCACAGTACGGGAATCCGGGACCCGGGGCTTTCCGAAACACCTCTATCTTTACTTTCCCCTATCTTCCTGCATACGCACAGGAGCCGGGGCCCGACAGGAATCGGCCTTTGGAAGTAGACATGCGCACAAGTAGCAGAGAGAGGGGCTCAGGTCCTGCAAAAACTGCCTAGCAACTGTGACGTCATGGGGACACTTACTCCTCCATTGGTGGGGTCGCGTTCGAGGGGAAAGGAACGCACTCTCTGCAGGACTAAGGGGACGTTGAGGGCGGGGCTTCCAGACCTCGTGGAGCTCTGCAGATTCTCCACTTGACTTCTGGGTCCCAGATCCATGTTATGTCCAGGCTGAGCTCCCAAGCCGTTGTCTTTGCGAGCATCTGTCCCCAGCCAACATATGGCGTCAGATTAACAGGCAGCAGACATTCCAGGCTCATTTGCCCCTAATGGGTGCAGATCCTTACAGAAGTGGTTTTCCCTGATCCAGGCTGACGCACTTGGCTGGTGGTCTGCATCTCACGGGACTGGCCATGACCCCAAGAGTGGCCAGGAGACCAGGCCTATGAGGGCACCCAGATATCCCATGTTGCCCCCAACCATTCCCACAGCCAAGGTCCCGCCCAGCCTCAGGCACTGAGATCCAACTCATGATGATGGTAGATCTGCGTGGGGCCCTTGAAGCACGCTGCAAATAGGAAGCGTCTCCCCGCTACAGTGACGTGCGCAAAGGCTCGGGGCGCTACCAAGGCCGGGGGCCCTAGCTCCTGCAGCGGCTCCAGGAGCCCCTTGTCAGGCTCAAGGCGGAAGACCTGGCTGAAGGCAAAGTCGCTGCCCAGGATAGCCAGCTGGTCCCTGGTGATGAGCAGTGGCTGGAAGACATGGGCACCACGAGATGGAAGTTGCTGTAGCAGTCGGAACATGGAGCCATCCCAGCGCATGACCTGCAGGGTGCGGGGACTAGTTAGGGCCTGCAGTCCTGGGGCACCAAGTCTGCCTATCTTCCTCAAGGCTCTGTAGGTATGGTTGGCTGACACTTGCTAGGTATGGTTGGCTGACACTGAACTCATGTAGCCCTGACTGATCTCAAACTCGGGATGCTTCTGTCTCAGCCTCCTGGTACTGGTATTAAAAGCCTGTGATATGAACACCATACCCAGCAGCTTTCTTAACTGTCTGGGTATCGTTTGACTGCTCAGAGCACAGTGTTGTTTTTAATCCTGTCACACACTGCATAGAATTCTCCACAATGGTCTGTTGATTTTACTATCTCTAGTTATGTGTTTCCTGTACCTCCTCTGACCACTCCTTGAGCCAGCTTCCACCTTCTCCAGTCTCCTGCCTGGTCCAACTACCCCCTCTGTTCATTAGAAACCCTGTGAATAGCTGAGTTTGTGGGGTCCTTTCTTGACAGCACTGCACCCTGAAAAATAGAGCCTTGAAGGATGTGGGTGGAGCCTAACAGCAGTTCAGCCATTGAGGGTATCAGATTTGAGCATCTGGGTGGGGAGGGTGTGGTTGGAGTTAAATGGTCTGGAATGTTTGAGAGTCAAAGTTTAGGGGGGAGGATCAAATCTTGGAGCAGGACATAGTGGCACATTTCTGTTATGCCACCAGGCTGAGGCAGGAGGATCATGAGATTGAGGCCAGCCTAGGCTACATATTAAGACCCATAAAACTGGACTAGGGCCCGGCATGGTGGCTCATATGTTTAATACCAGCACTCTCGGGATGCAGAGGCAAGCAGATCTCTGAGTTCTAGGTGAGCTAGGGCTACATAGTGAGGCCCTGTCTCAAGCCACACCTTCCCAAAACACCCCACAGAGTTGGGAACATAGCTCAGCTGTAAAGCTCTTGCCTAGAATCCAGCAGAGAGGAACTGGGGGCATGGCTCAGCCATAGAGCACATGCCTGGAATTTACTAGCAAGGGGCTGGGGACCAGGCTCAGCAGTACAGTCCATGCCTGGAATTCACCAAAGAGGGTCTGTGCAACCAGCAGTGAAGGTCAGGACTGGCTTCTATGCCCTGCTACCCACCCCTAGCCTCACCATGGAGTCCCCGATGTATCGGGTGAGACACAGGAACACATCTCCACCAGCCTGGAAGTGCTTCGTGGCATAGACGTCCTCTGCCTCGGGGATGTCTGTGCGCCTCTCAAAGCGGTCACCAAACCAGTGGAAGAGCACCGGCCTCTGGGAGGCGGAGGCCAGCAGCAGATGAGGGCGGCCATCCAACTCCAGGGCCTCTGCGTCCGTGTCACGGTGCCAGGCATGCAGGCTCTGGCGTGGATAGAAACCCAGCCCATCACGGCACAGCAGCGTGGTGGTGCCTGCCTTGGAGGCATCGGCCACAACGAAGCAGGGCTGTCCTTCCAGCCACAGGAGCTCAGCATCATTGGGCCGCAGCAACCTTCGAGGGGCCACGACCTGCATCGGGGCCAGACGCAGGTCTGGGCTGGGACGAGCCCATAGCTGAGATCCTCCCCACAGGCGGGCAGCCAGGATGAAGAGGCGCTGGCCCAGTACCAGAGGCTTGCAGGACACGACGGAGGGCGCTGTGGGGGAGCAGGACACAGTCAGGCCCTGTGGGCAGGCTGGGGACAGATAGAAGGAGTCCAGGACAGGAGGGGAGCTCACCTGACAGCTCCTCCTCAGGCCGGAAGCGCTGCAGGCTATAGTCCCAGGTGAGGATCAAGCAGCGACCAGCAAAGGGCTGTGCCAGGACCACGTGGGGTTCCCCCTGGTAGGAGAAGGGCTCCACGCTCAGGGCCGGCTCCCCAACAGTCTGGAACCAGGACAGCTCTAGGGGCAGCAAGACAGTCAGGCAGGCCTTGGGTTACTGCTGAGCCTCAGTTAGCATATGGTTGCAATGAGGAATATTCCTGATGTTTACCACATAGGGACATAGAATAGAATCTTTTCATCTATAGATAAGTTAACTTTTCAGCAACAGGAACATCTTTATTTTCAAGGCTGTGTGGCATCACCAAACAGTCCCCTCAGAACTAGGCACAGGCCTGTTATCTCAGGCTGAGGCAGGAGGATCTCCTATGGCAGGTCAGCCAGGGTTACAAGGTGAGACACTTTCTCAAAAACAAGAAACAAAGCAAAGAATGCATTTAGATAGTTATTTGACTTTACAACAACATTCCTGTGAGTTACCCTGAGGAACCTGAGGATGTATGGCCCAGGCAGCCAGTAAAGTTCATTCTCTTCAGCTGGGCCTGGAGCACAAGCCTGTTAACCAGCTACTCAAGAGGCTAAAGCGGGAAGACTAGGAATTCAATCAAGGCCTGCCTGAGATTCAGAAGGAGTTGAGGCAGGCCTGGGCAACTTGAAAAATAAAAGGGGGCTGGAGGCATGACTCAGTGATAGCACTTGCCTAGAATCTACCAGTGAGGTGCTGGTGGTGTGGTTCAGTGGGAGAGCACCTGCCTAGAATCCCCCAGTGAGGGGCTGGGGGCATGGCTCAGTGGTAGAGCACCTGACTAGAATCCCCCAGTGAGGGGCTGGGGGTGTGGCTCAGTGGTAGAGCACCTGCCTAGAATCCCCCAGTGAGGGGCTGGGGTGTGGCTCAGTGGTAGAGCACCTGCCTAGAATCCATCAGTGAGAGACTGGGAACATGGCTCAGGGATAGAGCATTTGCCTAGCTTGTGGAAGGTCCTGGGTTCAATCCCCAGTATCATACACACACACACACACAAAATCCATTTTCATCCTCCATGAAACAGGATTGGAGCTGACCACCAGGCCATTCATCAGAAGCTAGAATGTTCAGGCACCACTAACACCCTCCCCAGATACCACATCACGATCAAGTTCACAAAGGACAAGCAGTGTGATGTCATTCACTTCGTTAGCTTGTGTGAACACAACTTGTCCTTGGCCTGGCTCACTCCCCTCCTTCTTACAATAGGGCATGGGGAGGTGCCACAACCTGCCTTGAACCATGAAAACAACCCATGCGGACAGCTCACCTTGCTCTGTTTGTGTTAAAAGCACTGTTTTGAGCCTTCAGGTAACTTTTCAGCTTATTGGGGGGCGGCGGTGACAGGCTGTGACCCTGATTTTCATGTGTCACCCTATACACCAGGCCGTGTTCCTAGGTGGCAAGATTGAAACAAACCAAACCACCAGGGACACCCACACAAAGGGGATCTTTTTTTATTTTGTTTTTGAGAAATGATCTTGCCATGTGGCCCAAGCTGGCCTCAAACTCACAATTCCCCAGTCTCTGCCTCCCTTGTGCTAGGGTTATAAACATGTACTACCATGCCCTGCAGGATCTTTTAAAAATGTCCTTCAAGGGACAGCTCAACAGTTAAGAGCACATGCTGATCTCCCAGAGGACCTGTTTGGTTTTCAGAACTCATGAGGCTCACAAGTGCCTGCAACTCCAATTTAGGGTCCTGAAGACTTCTGTGGGCACCACACACATGTGGCATACAGATGCACATAAATAAAAATAAATGTTTAAAATAAAAGTCCTTGAAATCATGTTACATCCTGGGCCAGTGAGATGGCTCAACAGGTACTTGCCACCAAGCCTGATGACCTGAGTTTGATCCCCAGAATTCACATGGTAGAAGGAGAAAACCAACTCCACAAGTTGTTGTCTGACCTTCACATGTGTACCATGGCACTTGTGCACCCCTACAAATGAAAACATACATACATGCAGAGAGAGAGAGAGAGAGAGAAAATTAAAACGTAGAAGAGCCGAGCTGGGCATGGTGGCGCACGCCTTTAATCCCAGCACTTGTTGAGGCAGAGGCAGGTGCATCTCTGTGAGTTCAAAGCCAACCTGGTCTACATAGTGAGTTCCAGGACAGCTGGGGCTACCGTGAGACCCTGTCTCAAAAAGACCAAAAAAAAGAGTAGAAGAGCCAGATGTGGTGGTGCATATATATTTAATCCCGGCACTCAGGAGGCAGAGGCAGAGGCAGGCAGATCTCTGTGTGTTTGAGGCCAGCCTGGTCTACCTAGCAAATTCTTGGCCAGCTGGGCCACATAGTGAGACCCTGTCTCAGAAAAACAAAAACAAACAAACAAAGGTAAAAGGATGATGTAACTTCCTGTTTGAATCTTCCTTAGCTTCCCTGGCTGGGGCCCTGGGTTTCCTCAGCTGTCATGGCTTCCCCTGCCCTGGCCCAATGCTGGGCCTGCTTCTCCCTCTCTCCCCCCACAGACTCTACCTGCATTATTTCCCCACCCTGTCCCTGATCCCCTGACTATCCCTCCCACCTCTGAACCCAGCCTTTGCCTATGCCTCTCCATCCTGGAGGGATCATTCTGAGTTGTTAGGGGTAGCCTGACTTCCTCTTGTTAGTAGCCTCTGGGAGGGCAAGACCCAGGGCTGTGTGTCACTACTGTCTTCCTGCATGACCCTGCACTCCAATATACTCATGGAAAAGCAGAAAGAAAGCAGACTCTCATACCTGCAGCTCCTCGCACAATACCCGGCACCTAGGATTGGAGCTGACCACCAGGCCATTCATCAGAAGCTAGAATGTTCAGGTACCACTAACACCCTCCCCAGATACCACTGGTTACAATTTCATGTTGGCAATAGCAATGATCACTTAGAAAAGTTTCTTGTAAAGCAGAACATGGTGGCGTGGCACACGCCAGCACTTGGGAGGCTGAGATGGGGATTGCCACAAGTTCAAGGCTAGCTTGAGCTACATAATGAGACTGTCTCAAAACAATAATTAATTAATAAAACCCTCTTGTCTCGGGCCCTGCATCAAATGTCATGCAGAGACTAGGTGCGGTGGTTCAAGTTTGCAACCCTAGCACTCAGAAGGTAGAGGCAGGAGGATCACCGGTTCAAGGCCAAAATGAGGTCTATGAATTGAGACCTATCTGAAAGGAAAAAAAAGGGGAAAAAACAGACAAGAAGAAATACTACACAGGCATGAACACAGCATTGAATCCTTGCAGAGATTTTTTTACGGATAAGTAAACTGAGGCTCAGGTGGGAGATCAGCTCCTCAGACCTGTGGTCATTTCTCTTGATCTCCTGTCATCTTCTGGGACCCCTCCATCCCTCCCACCGCTTGGGGAAAGCCCTCACCTATGGCTCTGCATTTGAACTTCTTGGGGTCGAGGTCACCAAGCTGCATGTGGGCAAGGGCAGAGGGGCCGGCACAGTCCCCCGTGCCCACACTGGCATTCACGGTAGGCATCCACTGAAGCAACCAAAGCACTCGGCAGTCACACTGGAATGGGTTCCCACGGAGGTCCCTGGGTAAGAAGCCAGGAAGGAGCTGAGACCCTGCTTCCATAGTTTAGAGGCTGAGTTCTACCCACACCCCCCATATAAGGGTCTTGGATGGTACCCACAGGTGATAGGAAAATTTATGAAAAGCATCATAACCATACTTGTACATACCAATCAAAGGAGGCCAGATCTCCCTCCTTCACAAGCATTCCCAAACCCTTTCCCTCCAAACCCCAACCCCGCCCCCTTCCCGGGCGACTGAGCCTCACACATGAGTCAGAGTCTCCAGGCCTCGGAACAGGAATCTCGGGAGAGCCTCGAGGTGGTTGTTGGCCAGGCTTCTGGTGGAAGGAGAGAGGAACAGTCAGCAGTGACCAGGCTACGCCATGGCCTTGGGGGACAGTGTCTGTGGTGGAGGGCTGGGTTGTGGAGGTACGCACAGGTGCACGAGGGAGCGGAGGCCTCTCAGAGCGTTCTTGGAGATGGAGCCAATCTTATTGTCCTCAATGAAGCTGTGGAGAGAGGGCGGAGTGAGGGGGGTCCACGGTGTGGGGGGAACTCACCCACAGAAGCCACTGGGAGGGCTGCCTTCTCCTCCCTTACTTTGAATGACAACAAGGAGACCTCTCTTCACCAGGCCCCGCCCACAACAGCCAAGGACTCGGCTCTGTGGTCACTGTTAGGCTTCCCACGCACATGGCTGCCATCATCATCGATACCACCCTGGCACCAATATCACCAGTATGACCAACATGAGTGCTGGTGTGCCCTGCGTCTCATTGTCACCAAGCACAGTACCAGAAACTGTCATTAACCCCAGCACCTTGCTGCCATTGATACCAATGCTGCCACCTACTCCCACCATTAACAGCAGCACCACTATGACTTTCATGAATACCACCAGTTCCATCAACATTAGTAAACTCAGAACCAACAACAAACAGGGCTGGGGCATGGCACAGCGGGTAAAGGTGCTTGCCACCAACCCAACTTCAATGTCCAGAGCTCACCTGATGGAAGGAGAGAATCTACTCCTGAAAGTTGTCCTCTGAACTCTACACGCATGCTGTGACACACCCACCACCCTCCAGAAATGAATATAATTTAAAAAGCATTTTTTAAAAAAATCCAACACCAGGCCACTGGAGAAATGGCTTGGCTATTAAGAGCACTGACCGCTCTTCTAGGAGACCCAGGTTCAGTTCCCAGCACCCACATGATGGCTCACACCATCCTTTATTCCAGTTCCAGGGGATCTGATGCTCTCTTCCATCTTCTGTGGGCATTGCACCACACCAGTATGCAGGCAAAACACTGGTATATAAAATAAAAATAAATAAATAAGTAGTTTTTAAATTCAACACAGGGACTGAGACATAGTAGAGGTTGAGCGATTGTCTAGAATCCACCAGTGAGAGGCTAGGGGTGTGGCTCAGAGGAAGAGCACCTGACTGGAATCCATCAGTGAGGGTCTGGGGGCACGGCTCAGCATAGAGCTCTTGCCTAGAATCCACCAGTGGTCAGCTACGGGTGTGGCTCAGCAGTTGTTGGCTTGCCTAATATGCCCAAGACCTGGGTTTCTATCCCCAAGGACACAAAACAAACAAAAGCAAAAAACCCTCACTACCATTCAGTTCCCAGCCATGACCAGCATCAGCACCAGTGCCATAATGAGCATCCTCCAACACCGATAATCTTCACAAACATCAGCCCCATTCACCTCACAGGTACCCCCGATAGTGTCGGCACCATTCCGGCAGCCATTTTGGTCAGCATCCCTCACACTCCATGGGCAGCAATATGGCTATCACATCCCTGGCAGCAGCAGCAGCAAGGGACTCTACCACTGCCGCTATGGTCTACACCAGTGTCCATCACCACCACCAACACCAGCACTGTCATGTCATCACCTCCACTACCATCCCCTCCAACCCTCCCATCAGCTCTACCACTGACAGTGTCACAGGGTTACCACCCAAATTCAAATTGTTTCCTGGTAACATAAAACATTTTCTGTCTCTGGCTTCTCTGAACACTCTCTTCCTAGAGTCCCATGATCCAGGAGGAGGGAGTCTGGCTCTTCCGATTCATTGTTTTTCAGTACTTGGAATGAAACCCAGGGTCTCACATGTGCTAGGCAAATGCTCTACTCGTGAGCTACAGCCCCCGTCTCCCCAACCCTTTCATTGTTTAAACTTTTTATTTTGAGACAGGGTCTCACTAAACTGTTCAGACTAGCCTTGAGTTCACTCTATAAGCCAAGCTGGCCTTGAATTTGCAATCTTCCTGTCTCAACCTCCTGAGTAGCTGGGATTATAGGCCTGGACCCCCAGGCCCAGCTTCCTTTGTGAATTTTGTTGTACAGAGAGGTGAGATTCACATCTGACCAGTAACCTTCATGCCACCCACATAGCCGGCCTCATCCACCAGGTCCTGCTCTCCAGACACCTGCTTCCTAGGGCCATCTCCTTTCTTCCTCTTCCTCTTGGAGTTAATGAGAGGCTAGTCCACCCCTCCAGGCCCACCTTTCCCCAACCTCTGGCCATACTCACAGATACTGCAAGTAGGACAGTCCGAGGAAGGCATCGTCTTCAATCACAGAGAAGGTGTTGGACGTGAAGAGGCTGTCAAGAGAACAAGGCAGATTTTCAGAGTTGCAGACTCATATCTGACATTGTAACTTTGGATCTTCCACTCAGCCCATAGGCACACATGTGAGTGTGGGTATATATACACAGGTATGAATACTTTCAAAGATACACACCACATGCACATGTCCTCATGGGTCTGAAAAACCCCCATGCCTACATGTGCACGCCTCCTCCCCATACGCATGCAGAAACACCTGCTCCCTCGAGTGGGTTATGGGTCTGGCCAGGCCCCACTCACAGCAGGTGTAGTGACGGTATCTTCAGGAAGCTGCCGGCCTTCAGCTGAGGGACCCCCATCCTGACAAGGGAGCTGGGGACATGGGCAAAGATGGGTGATCAGAAAACCACTCTTAATTCTCTGGTCTCAAACCAGAGCCCTCTGCTACCCTGGAGACCTGGCTTGCCAGGCTGAGCCTGGGGGTGTCTTCCCTCTGTGCCCTCTGCATATTGTCAAGGGTCTGGGCAGCCCTTATTCCAGTCTCTAGATAACCCACTTCCAGTGTTCTCAATATTCCCCCTGCCCTTTGGAACTCACAAACCCCTTGTCAGGCATCCCAAAACCCTTTACTGACCCAGATCCTGATAAGAGACCCCAGTACCCCACTCCAACCTCTGGAGTCCTAGATCTTCCTCCCTCCCTTTCAGGCCCACACAGGGCCTAGCACTTACAGTGACAGGAGTGTGGCAGAGAAGCTCTCAGGCAGCTCCGGGGAGCCCTCACACAGGGCACTGTCCTTGGAACAGGAACAGCGTAGGGGACACTTTCCCTTTGGGGGCCTCCAGACCACTCCTGCTCCAGCCCAGGCCAGCAGCAGCAGCAACAGCGGCAAGAGAATGCCTGTCCCTCCCATGCCCTCTGCCCCACCCCAGGCTCCCACCTACCCCACCCTACTGGACCCAGGCAGCTACATTTCTGTGGGGTACCCCTCCATGCTGTTGTTAGCCATTCTGTCCTGTGGCTGTCTGCCTCTCTCTCTCTTTCTCTCTCTCTCTCTCTCTCTCTCTCTCTCAGGGGAGGAAATGCAGCGCAAAAAACTAGTGTCCCGATTTGTAGTTTCCTCCCCCTATCAGGCTCCTCCCTCTCTTCCTCGGAGAAGGCTCTACCCCCAAATCAAGGAAGCCACAGTCTGATGAGCATTTGCGCTGAGAGTCTATTGGGAGGGGAAAATATAGAGATATATCTCCACCTCTGTTCATAGAACACCCTCTGGTGTCTCTACGCCAAGCCAGAAGCTGCCACTACCATCCTATCCTCTTCCCGCGAGCGAAGACTTCTCTCTCTCCATGCAGTTTAATTCCAGTTTGCTTCTCTTCGCAGGCGAAAGGAAATCAACAGGCAACTCTTGGCTGGACGTGCAGATTTGAAGGGGGAGGGGGAAGGCAGAATAAAAAGGAAGGGGGAGCCACCCTCCCAGCCCTAGCACACACACTCTCCCTGTCTCTAGCTAGCAGGGAAACAGTCTCTGCATTCACAGGGCTGGGCTGTCAAGTGCCTCTCTTTTCTTTCTATTCAGCATCTCCTTCCAGTGGCCCAGCCTCCCAGTCCTCTTCATCTAGAAAAGAAAACCTTGGCTAGGAATGAGTGGTGGATATTTGAAAAGAATAAAGTGCGGGCTTTTTTTTCCCCTCCTCTTAATTTTTTTTTTCTTTTTTTTAATAGTAGAAGGAATGGGGTAGAGGAAACACATCAAGGTTTGGAGTGATGCATTCTGCAGTCTCCCTCTCTCGGTCTCCGGTCGACTTGGGGAGGGCAGAGAGCGAGCAGCCGCGGTCGCCGGGGTCCTGCGGTGGGGGGGGGGGGG